CTCCTCCGCCATTCAGGCGTGGCGTGGCAGAAAAGCAGAGTTTGTTTGTTGGTCAGCTGATGGTTGCCATGGAAACCTTAAAGGAGACCTTTGGAGATGTTTCTCCACCTCTCTGTGACTGAAGGTAATAAGTGACCCTGGTCCAGTTTGGAGGAAGACCTCCGCCTCACTGTCTGCTTCAGCAGAAGGTCTCTGAAATGTGATCAGCCTAAAGCATCGGAAGTGAAATCTGAGATGTCCTCCAACCAAAGGTGGAGGTTTCTCCTCTTCCTCTCCTGATGAAGATCCTTCAGCTGATAACCGGATCAGTTGGAAAGAAAAGCTGCTGACTGCTGCTCAGATTAACGGCGTGAGTTCTGCGTTTCAGAGATCCGTCTGAGGAAGCTGGTGGACGAGCGAGAGCGAATGATCGAGCAGGTGAGTTTCTCCTGAAGGTGGCCAGATGTTCTCAGGTGGAGGTTCTGATGTTCTCAGGTGGAGGTTCTGATGTTCTCAGGTGGAGGTTCTGATGCTGTTCTCCTACAGATAAAGAAACTAAAGAACCAGCTGGAAGTGAAGAGCCAGAAGAACGGCTCAGAAAGCTCCTCCAGTCCAGATGGTGACCCAGCAGAAAACGGCAGCGACCCAAACATCATGGAGTTACAGAGTAGGTGGAGCAGAAGCGTCTGGGTTCCTCCACCTTCTCACACTAACAGCTCCTTATCTTTCCAGGAGACTCCAACCGCCAGATAAACGACCTGAAGTTCAAACTGGTGAAGGCCGAGCAAGAAGTCACGGCCTTGGAGCAAAACGTGAGCCAGACACCCGTTACTAAAGTATTCACTCCTCTGACCTGCAGCTTCTGTCCAAACATCCGAGTCTCTGTCGGTCCGCAGGTGACCAGACTGGAGGGTCATGTGACGCGTTACAGATCTGCTGCCGAGAACGCAGAGAAGGTGGAGGACGAGCTGAAGGCCGAGAAACGCAAACTGCAGAGAGAGGTAACGCTCGGTTCTGGGAAAGTTCTGATGGTTCTGGAAAAGTTCTGATGGTTCTGATCCAACAGCTGCGGACGGCGCTGGATAAGATCGAGGAGCTGGAGTCCAACAACAGCCACCTGAACAAAAGACTGGAGAAGATGAAGTCCAGCCGCGGCATGGCTCAGACTCCGTAACAGAACCCGTCCGATTCGGGTCAGAACCGATTCTGCCTCCACAGAAGTCCAACCTAGTCCGCACCGCGTTTCTCCCCCAACGTGCCATTCTCTACCTACAGAGGGAACTTTGCTCAGCCCCGCGCACGCCGCAGAACACAGATGGAACACGGAACATGATGGGACACGGACCCCGACGGAACACGGACCCGGACGGAACACGGACCCCGACGGGACACGGACCCAGACGGGACACGGACCCCGACGGGACACGGACCCGGACAGGACAC